CTGCTTGTACCCCCGCAAAACTCACCTCTTTAACTTTAATCACTACCACCAACAACAACAGCAAAATAGGAATAGCACAGGAAAAAAAAACCCTGTGTAGTAACAACCCCTTAGCCTTCTGTTGCGACACAAATATGAAAGAACTTGAACAACATCCGGTAGGTCCGGGTTCAAAACTCAAATGGAATCCCAATGTTCTCAAGTGTTGTCTTCCAAACCCGCAGCCCTGCTCATTAAAAGGAATTATTTCCTGCATTGGGGCCCATTTCTTAATTTTTTAAAATATTTTTTTTTGGGTGTAACTCATCAATAACAAAACAAACTAATAATATGCTTCGTTGACTTAGATGTAGCAAGAGCATTAGAAATGTCATGAATTCTGAGCCTCTTATTATCACGAATGAGGTTTTCAATGCGTACAACAATATTTTCTGTGTTGTCAGTGGCAGACAGATGACAGCCTCCAATATGCTTATCACCTGGATTTGTATGTCTCTCAATGAAGTGGTTAACCTTTGACAGGTTTAAAACATCCTTAACACAACATACACACTTTCAAGTTTTTTGTGAATTTCAGTAAGATTATTCCCTTGTTTCATTTTAGCAAGTTTTACAGCATTTGCAACACAATTAGGTCACACAAGTGCCAAAGACTAGAGGAGTTATGACAAGAGAGTCAACAAAAAAGGAGCGATAAGGATGATAAATGTTTGATAGAAGTGTAAGTAAGAGTTTAATGGAACTCAAAATACAAAAACAGGTCATAATAATATGTGTTACAAGAGAGTAACAAACATAGAAAAGAAGGGGAGATAAGAAAAAAAGATGTTTGATGGGATAGAAGGAGTAAACCACCGGAGCACCTGCCGACCACCCACTTTTTCGAGTGAAAAGAAAAGAGAAGCACATCAACACAATAACCATCAATTAGTGGGAGGAAAAAGTAAGGAAGATGGACAGACACAGCAGATAGAAAGTAAAGAAGTAGGGCCTACCACTGGCACCCTTCAGACATCTACACACAAGTACAAGATGAGGAAAAAACTTTCTTCAGCACACAGGGATTAGACACACTCAAAAACCAAAATTCAAGACAGTAAAACAGCATTGTTTTTGTACGAATTTTTTTATATTTTGATAATATTACCCAGAACACATAATGTATTCCTGAAAAACCTTATTAAGATGAACCTTGGTAAAAAAAAAGATCTCCCGCAAGAATAATGACCTGATGAGATAGATGGCAGTTTGAGCACAACATAAACTAAAAATATAATTCTTCCTCACATGTTGCCCCTTCCAAAAATGTCTTGAATCAATCCAATCCACCTTTTACCAAAACAAGGCAAAACAGAAAACCAAATATTTCACCACAAGTCAAAAGGGTAGATGAATTGCACAGGATTTAAATAATTCATGATCCAAATGGAAATGTTCTTTTCCCACAAATCAACAAAAATGGTACGTGTCTGAAAAGCTCTTGAAAACTAGTGAGCATTGTTTGAGCTGTGGAGCTACTGAGCACAAGCACAGCCACATTTCCTCAGGTCATCTCCAACTACCCACTACAAGGGTATGATGAGTAAACAGTTGTAAAATAATCTCAAAAACTTTTACACAAACATAATAAACACACACACACACACATTTATATTTATTCCAATATATAAAAAATATATTTATGACATTTAACCACCCACATTAAACAAATCACTCATCAACCTCCAAAAAATCTCTTAAAACAATTTGTGTTGATGAAAACTACAGCAAGCAACATGCAATCTAAGATCTAAGTAACCATTGTATTCATGAAGCACTTACTCACTCCCAAGTAAGTTTAGTAAGTACAACCAATGTGACTGGGGCAGATTAATAACAGGTGGGGGAGGGATGGGAAGAAGGGGGGAGGGGGAGAGAAAGGGGTGCTAGCTCAAATGAAAACCCACTAATAGAACTATTACAGAAAAATGATTGATGGTGTCTCTTCCTGTCATTGGCGAGTGAACAAATAGTTTTGTTCGAGTAAAGAGAAGCAAACCAGCACAATAATGGTCATCTAGTTCTGGGAAAAAGCAAGAGCAAGTAAAGCAGCAAAACCTACTGCTGGCACCTTCCAACCACCCACCCACCCAAACAAAAGGCAAGATCTAAATGTTAGCTACCGGTTCACAAACCAAAAAACTTAAATGAGGATGCATCACTCTGACAGTCTCACAACTTGTCACTACACAGACACAGCTGATGCTGCATGGAAACCAAAGAGGAAGGACATACACTGAATGGTCGCTCATCCTCCGTTCTTATAGAATAATGACAGGTGTTGCAGCACACACAACACACAGTCACAGACACAACAAGCTCTGTCTCAGAAAGTCCACAAACACAAAGTCGACCAACAAAAGTTATCAAAAAGATGATGATGATGACGATGACACAGACACTTTTTCTTCGGCTGTACAGCTGGCAACCCTAGCAGTCCATCCAGCACAGTTGGTCTCACCCATGGTAGTTTTGACATAGCTTATGATGTTATGATGTCACAGTGAGCACCCAGATGGGAAGGGGGAGGGGGAGGGTGGGTATGGGAAGGGGGGGGGGATGTTTTACTTGCGGACCGTAGCCTCATTTGCTGCATACCAGTCACAAGTCTCCTTGATGGCTGCAAATAAAGAAATTTAAAAAATCCCAAGGTAAATGTCTTAGAAAATTATTAGTTTGAATAGAGTGAAACATATAAACACAATAGGCGTCAATGAGTGCTTATAAAAAGCAAGGCAGACAAACATTACTAGGGCCTTCCAATAGCACCCTCCAACCATCTGCTTTATCAGAGTAGGAAGAAGGAGAAGAAACAATGGTTGGTGACTGGTGTGAGGAAAAAAGTATGACAGAGACATACCACTCAAGGTCAGCAAGTTCTAGGGAAACGGGGGACGATTGACAGAAAGGACAAATAGATAGAAATGGATCAGGGCCAGTCTATCAGATATACCCTCCACCATAATTGAAAGAAAGAGGGAAAAAAAAAAAAGAAAAGAAATAGACTATCAAGACAGTTCTTGTGTAACATACAATCATTTGTAGTGTTATACTCTTCTGACATTGTAACAAAGAAATAGTTCCCCTCTTTTCTCGTTCTAAGAAACCACTGCCTATGTCAGTTTGTGGGGCCTCAACAATAAAAAAAAAAAAAACAATTAAATTACTGTTGACTAACGTTTGTATCTTCTTTCATCATCTAAATCTCAAGAGTTTAATTTGCATGATGAAAAATGTTGAAGATACCAGTTCCACAATCAGAGTATTATAGCATGGACGTTTGGCTAGTAATGGGATATCTTTCCAATAATAATAGATAGCATTTGTATAGCTCATATCCCCGCTCAGCAGCAGGCTCTATGCGCTTTACACTATATTATTACCCCAGCAGACCATAGAACACTCCGAAACATTCTCAGCTTCCCGGGAAGCATACAGTGCAAGCAGCTGATTAAGCGCTCAAACACTAACAAACTGACAAGATCTTTCGCTGTCTATAGCCGGGTACCCATTCCCACCTGGGTGAAGTGAGGAAAATTCGTGTTAAGTGCCTTTCCCAAGGACACAACGTCGGGCCCTTGACGGGATTCGAACCCACGATCTTACGGTTGCGAGTCCGAGAGCGTAACCACTAGGCCACCGACGCCACTGACAGAACGATCATATCATGAAGAGCATAAGACCATGGATACGTTTGTCCAATATTGACAAATCCTCACTTAGGACAGAATGATGTGTTGCAGCGAAGTGGAATAAGACACTCATCAATTTTGGGGCATACATACAGAGTTATTGCTATACTATCAAATTAAAGCTTGTTTATTTTACTTAAACTTAGCTGCTTTGGGTCCAAAGTAATAGTCACTTGAATTTCAAGAGTGAGAAACAAACAAGTTTAAAGGAAATTAGTTTTGTCAGATACAGTTGACTCCGCTTGTGTTGATCTTTGGTTAATTTGATATTTTTCTCAAGTCTCAATACCTCTTCTTCTTTACAGGTCCCAAATGTTAAGTTGAACTTTAGATGAGTTGATCTTTTTTTCACACCCCCGACAACATCAACTCAACCGTAGTCGACTGTATTTCAAAACAGCTAAGTGCAACAAGTGACTCATTTTGTCCACTTGCTACACACAGGAAGACACTCTCCCTATCATCAAGGCCATCACTAGTTCCATCTAGAAGGGCACTACTTAATAGAAAAACAAGAACCTGTCTAAAACTTGAGCCTACCTTGTTTGATGGGGGTGAACTTAAAGTCAGGAAGGTATTTCCTCAACTTGGCTATGCTGGCTGTCTTTTTGAACTGTCCATCAGACTTAGAGGTGTCTTGCTGTGGGTTTTCGTTAAGGATGATGATATCATCATACAATGGGACACGATATTGTCTCAGACACACAGGAGCATGATGACACACAGACACATTGACACAACGACAGCCTCATCATGCAAGGCTATGTCTAAGACATACATCTCTCTCTCTCTCTCTCCCTCCCTTCTGGCACTGAGGCTTCATAAGTAGTCAGCAATACCGACAGCACGCAGGAATTCAATACTCCCTCAGGAATCCTTGAAAAGTGCTGAACGTGGGTCACTGAAATGTCCCAGCAGACGTGAACACTGAGGCACAATTACACACTAACAAAATGACACACTGATGTAATTACACTCCTAAATGATCCAAATTGTGTCATTTTTTGTAAGAGTTAAAGCATTTGCAACAAAATAAGGTCATATAAGAGCCGAAGAATAGAGGTGTTACAAGAGATTTAAAAAATAAAAAGAACGAGGGAAAATAAGGATGACATATGTTTGATAGGAAAGATGGAGCAAACAACACCAGAGCACCCGCCAACCACCCACTAATTTGTGTCGGAAGGGGAACACAAACACCTACATTTTAAAAAAAGAAAGAAAAAAAAACCCCCACTGACACAATTATGCAGACAAAATGATACACTGGGCATAATTACACATCAATACACTGACATGATAACAGCCTCATTATTATACCAAAAGCCACAATGACAAGCCACTTGACACCTTGTGTTTTCACCTTATTGCTTCTCCAGGAATAAACCCTTCCAAGCTCCCATTTCCATAAAGGAAAGCTCACCCCATCCCAAGTTATCAACTGCTAAAGGACCAAGATGTTATAGACAACTCGCTCTCTCCCTGAGCCCTCTGTATTTTCTCCAGTTGGCATAGTGGTCTATGCGAGATAGCACAGATTTAGACAATTTTGTGCCAATTTCTCCATACCGTCCAAAAAAAAAGACTAAAATTATCCTTTCTCAGCACAATGCAGAGCTAGGTAACAGAGATGTGGGGGGCAAATGATTTGTTAATTTGAGTGTATGTTTTAAGGTACTATTGATAGAATATATATATGGCAAAAAGGATACAACCACTTCTCCCTTGAAGTCTGAGGCCTCCACCACCAGATCAGCAGCCTCTTTGATGGAGATCTCATCCTCTTCACCAACTGTGAACAAATAAATCACAAAACTAAGCACAAAAGACAGCATGGGACAATCTCATTTTCATTATATTTGTCCACATAATGCTTTCAAATAAGACATGTTCTGCCCCAGACGAAAAACATCATGTAAAAACAGTCAAACAAAGGAGCACCCAGAGAGGGATCAAGAACAGTACAGACTTTGAAACTAAAAAAAAATAAAATAAAATGCAATGTTACATTTAGAAAAATGTACGTTTTAAAGTTTGAAATCTCATATAAAGTATATATGAGGCAGCGTGGTGAAATCAGACACTCGTCAAAATAATGAAATGGAAGACACGGGCATTCTTCTGTCAGTTTGGCAATTTTTATAGAATTTTTGTTTTTTGGCTCAACACCTTCCTGGAAAAACACATTTCCATGTGAATGTTACTGAAAAACCTTGATTAATGGCACAAAAAATGTAAATTTTCAGTTCCCAAGGACTCTCAAGCTGTGAAGTTACCAAACTTTGGCGGTCATTTTCTCACAACTTTTATCACTGAAACCAGGCACCTTCAATCATAAATATCTCGACTTCTATTCAAGATAGACAGGGATTTTCTTCATTGAAAGCAAGGCAAATGAATAAGCCAAAAATTGACGAGCGCCTGATTCCATCACATCGTGACACATATATGTGTCATAACACAGTGGAATCAGGCGCTCTTCAATTTTAGGGTACATGGAAGATTGGTATAGTCTTAAGCCTGTTCATTTGCCTTGCTTTTGATGGAAAAGATATCTCTATCAATCTTGAATAGAAAGTCAAGATATAAATTGTGATTGAAGGAGGTGGAGGTCAGCTGGTGTCAGGTAAAAATTAGCCAGAAAATGGCCGCTAAGGTTTGGTGACTTCCACAGCTTGAGAATCCCTGGAAACTGCAAATTTGCATTTTTGTGCCTCTGATCAGTCTTTCAGGAAAGTCCACACAGAAATGTGTTTTTAAATTAACATAACAGGCCTGTGTAGAGCACAAAAAAAGAAAAATCGATACAACCAAAATGCAGGTTTCTTTGATATCATCATTTTGATGAGCACCTGATTTCACCATCATGCCCCACATATATCTATTTATCCCAAAGATACATAATTTTTCCAGTTCATTTTTCCCACTTTAAAATGTTATGTCAAACTATGGTGTAATGATGCCCCAAATGGGTGTATAACTCAAAATAACAAACCCTGTGACTCTGATAATTGCTAATTACAACTTAATCTACTCAAACAAACAGCACACAAACAATGACCGGCGTCTGCGGTGTAACGGTTAGGCGCTTGGCTGTCCGACGCAGGAAACCCTGAGTTCGATGAAAATTTTTATTATGTATTTCAGCCTTTCTGCTGGGACTTTGCATCCCTCTCAGCCCGGGATGACCCTGACAGGCAGGGTCGAAATTCTGCCTCCAAAATGATCTAAATTGTATCAATGTCAGCGTAAAAAACATCTCCTTTAACCCTAACTCTGGCAAGGGCCGATTAAATCGGCCCATTTCCTGCCATGAAACTGGCAGGGCCGATCTCATAGGACCATATAGTAAACTGCTGCTTCTGCCTTCCAACTAAATATTTGGGGCTTCCTAAAGTGATTTCTGATTGGCTAAAAGGCTAACCTACAACCAATCAGAATATTTCTACCATTCTGGCTTAGGAGAAGAGTATTTTGCTTTCAAAACAGAGGGATGTTTTGAAAGCTTGTTGATCAGGTCACAAGCCACTAATGCCAGTGTAGATCTATCACTTGTGTGGGTCTAAAATGGCCAAAAATCGATCTTTTTTGGATACATTTGAAAGTGAATTGACTAGGGAAAGTAATTCAGACACTGTTAGTGGTGGATTTATTGGTGTTCAGTCAAGATTGGGATTAGATCTGACAGACAATGGGGATACATTACCAATTCTCATCCTGCCCCGACTTCTCTTTCAAATGGAACACTAGATTCTACTACTTTGGGAGTCTAATAGGGGCAGAAAAAGGAGAGCTATAGAGTAAAGTAGGTTCCTTTTGCTATACTAATTATTACAGACTACCAGCAGATTACTGAAAACCACATGGTTGTACTTAGAGTGTTTTTATGTTGAGTTTGGTATAAAATTAGCGAGTATCAGCTGCGTTCGAAACAGACCACATGACAAATTGAAACAGTCATAACTCATTACCTGTTCTTCTCAAACCTATAAAACTATACATTTTCTGAAAGGTGATTGAAAAACCCATATTTCTGCTATCTCACATTTTTTATAACAAGGAATACATTAGATTGGTGAATATGCTAATGAGCATGTACATTTTTTATGTCAGCCATCTTGGATTTCAAAGTTACATAACCCCTTGAAAATAAAATAAAATCATATGTTCAATGGTAAAATATAAAAGTTCATTCAATTATCTTTCAGAAAATATATACTTTTGTAGGGTTTTTATTTGATGCAAGTCCATAAATTTGATTTGTAAAGCATGTGCACGTTTTGGCTGACTGGCCCTGCCATTCCTGTTGAAACCACTTGCCAGAGTTAGGGTTAAAAAAAAAAGAACATTACCTGAGAGAATAATGGGTGTCACTTCATCATACTCTCTCAACACCCACAAGAATAGTCGTCCCAGATCTAGAGAGTAGATGAACTGACGTCTTGGGGAGCCTGTGCCCCAAATCACAAAAGGCTTGTTGTTTTCTGTGTGGAGACAAAGGGAGGTGTAGAGCTAGAGAGGTTTACAAGGCACATCTTTAGTGCTACAGACGTTATGTATGACATCAAGCTTACCATTAGAAATTGGCGTCACCAACTTTACGGATGAGATCTGGGACAGAGCTTGTTTTATTTTGATAAAGAGAAGCATATCGACACAATAATGGTCATTTGTGCTGGGGAAAAGTAAGACTGACAGACAGAAAGTACAGAGAAAAAGTAAAGAAGAAGGCCCAAAAACCAAGTGAATCAGGGAGAGAGAAGGTTTACCAGGAACACATTTACCTCTACAGACTTTACATATGAGACCAGGCATACCATAAGAAATCGGTGCCACAGAATTTACGTATGAGACCAGGAACAGAGAAGATTTTTCAGGCATACATTTAGCAGTTGATTTTACGTATGTGAACAGGCATACCAATGATAGTATTTTTTTTTATAGTCTTTAGCATCACAGACTTCACGTATAAAACCAGGTACACCTTTCACTTTGCCAATTTGCAGACTTTTGCACAAGACCATACAGCTCATGTACTTTAAGCTTTATAGACTACATTAAAAACCTTACAGTAAATAAACTTTTACAATCAATAGAGAGACTTTATGTATGAGACCACACAGTAAACATACTTTCTACTTCATAGACTTTTAAGATCATACAGTAGATAAACCTTTAACTTTATAAACCTTATGAATAAGATCATAAAGTAAGCATACCCTTTTTTAGCTTTAGTTTAAGCATTTTTTGGCACTTGCAACACAATTACGTCACATTGTGCAGAAGGATAGAGGAAAGCAACAAGCACAAAAAAGGAGAAAGAAGGACAATAGTTTTTTTAATAGAACAGAAGGAGCAAACCACAACAAAGCACCTGCCAACCATTTACACAGATACATTTATCTTCATAGACTTTACGTATAAGACTATATGGTAGACAAACCTTTGACTTCATATAATTAACATATGAGATCACACAGCACATGTACCTTTAGCTTCATGGACTTTACGGACAAGACCAGGCAATACGTGTCCATCCTCCAGGTTGAAGTTGTCATGAGGTCCAAACACGTTGGTGGGGACCACGGATGTGAATTTACATCCGTACTGAGAGCTGTAGGCTCTGTAGACAAGTGAGTTGAAAATCAGAAACAAGACTCTGTTTGTTTGAGTTTAAGTAATAAGAAACGCATTTTAAAAAATTAACGGTATTAAAGAATTTTAGTAGAGGTTTTACGGTGCTCGCAACTGCATAAGGTCATATGAGCGCCAAGGGGGGGATGTCAACAGAGAAGTCCTTACAGGGAATCAGACTTACTCTGCTCACCTCTCTAGCTTCAACAGCACAAAGTCTGCTTCGACTATCAAGGCACCCCGGAAAGAGGGTCACAAGAGTGTGACAAACATGATACAAAAAAAGTAGAGGAAAATGACAATACTAAGGATTAGGAAAGAAAAAGCAGCAGTTCCATGTTGTAGACCAGGCACAGTTATGAGCGTGACATTGATGAATCAGCCTATTTACAATTCTACTGTGCATCAACGAGAAATGTCCCCTCTTTGGGAATGGCCTAAAGACACCAGTCAGTGGCACCGCCCCGGGGGGGGGCTGTAGTAAAGGAGTATCTATCACCCCCCCCATAAAGTTTTGATTAATTGAGACTTCACAGATAGAACATGCTACCATCCACATAATTATTTGTCATTTTAGGAGGTGAGGCGCCTTGTGTCAGAGGTAAAATCAGCAAGAAAATGGCTGCCAACGCTTAATGATTTCTAAAGCTTAGGAGTCCTTGGAAACTGTTAATTTATATTTTTAGTACTTTAATCAACATTTTTCAATAAAATCCACACAGAAATGTGTTTTTAAATGCATGTAAAAGGTGTTGAGCCAAAAATGTAAAATTGAGATAAGAACAAAATCGCCCAACAGTTGAAGAAATGTTGGTCTCTTTGATTTCAATATTTTGACGAGCGCCAGGTCCCATCACACTGCGACATATTTAATTTAGACATTCACCATACGTTTGGCAAAACTCACTTGTTCTGAACATCTATCAAACGTTTGGCATATGAGTAGCCAAAGTTGCTGTCATGAGGAGGACCGTTGTGCACCTGACAAAGAAAAAACACAAAAGTTCAAAGTTTCAAAGTGCACAAACTTGAGGGTAGAGGATCCAGCTTAAGACTGTATCACTCACGTTAAAATTTTAAAATTCCTGCTTATCATTTTTACTTTTCTTTAAAAAAAAACCAACAAAACAACAAAAACAAGCAAACACCAAGTCAACAATAATGAGCAATTCAGCATCAACGTAACTAAAAACAATACCAGATCATTTAGAGGGCCACGCAACCAATGCAGCTCACACTTCCAGCATAGATATTGAAATTGCACCTAGATAATGCCTGTAGGTAATTAGACCCCTTCCTGTATGAACCTTTTTGGTGCACTGAAAAGAATCCTCACTCCATTTTGCTTCCTGTTTTATAAAATAACCGACCATCATTTCTCCGACGAGATATATACTAACTCACCGTAGTTTCACAATGGGATACAGTAACTCATAATAGTTTCATCAATGGGAAATATTCACCCAGGAGAAATACTAACTTGCCATAGTTTCAATGATGGGAAATATCTGCTAATCAGTATCATTGATGGGCAATATTAACTCATCATCGCGTCAAGCTGCTACCTTTTTGGCCTTAGTCATTTTTTACACTTCGGAGATTATTGAAAAAAACAACTGTCTCAGTAAGTGAAAAATGCACTTTGATCACCCAAAATTTCCAGAGCTCATTCATTTACTGTCTTAGTACTAACAGTTATTTTCCAAAACTATGGGATATGACTGACATAGGACATTTCATGACTGTTGTCTCTGGTTTAGGCGATTTTGCAAAATGACTTGAGCCATAAATTTTTTTTTCCGTTTTTCAATTCTGAATGACTTAGGCCATTTTGAAAGGAATTTGACTGAAATGGACAGTTAGATCCAAGACTGAGGGTAAAAAACTTGCCCAGGTTTTGGCCTAAGTCTGGCTTAGGCTAAAATGAATGAGAGACAAATTGGCCCATATCAGACTTATGCCAAATTACACGGGGAAATAAAATGTCACTTTTGACTTGGCCAAATGCATTTTTAAAATTTTCTTTGAAATAGTTTGGAGTATATTTTTTATTTTACGTTACTATATTAAGCAGATGTCAAGGAGTCCAGGGGTTCATTATAATAGTTGCATTTTGGCTTCAGTCTGACTTAGGCCAAAAAGGAACTAGCTTGATGATAGTTTCATTGTTGAGAAATATTACCACATCATAGCTTTATCCATGGCCACATACTACCTCATAATAGTTTCACTGATGAGAAATACTAAATCATCATAGTTTCATTGATGGGAAATATCAACTCACCATAGTTTCATCGATGGGATACGTCGTTTTGTCGGGGAAGATGCATGTAGACAAGCATGATACCACTTTTTTTACTTTGAACTTGTAGCTGGTGCTCAGGACATTTTCGTTGATTTGAATGTTGGTTCTCTGGGGAAAACGGAGACACGAGTGAAGAAAACGTTAGCCATTATCTTTAATATTAATAAAAGAGTCTCAAAGGCTCATTTCAAAGGTAGGCCACATCATCCTGAAACAGGAACACATTCCTAAGGAATGAGTTTGTTTAAGTAAAGAGAAACACACAGTGCAGGGAAAAAGTAATAAAAACAACAGAAAGAAAAGAAGCAGGACCTACCAACGGCACCCTCCAACCAATAACTCCAAGAATGAGGAAAATCTTTAGCCCATTCCTACAAAAACCTTAAACTTTGACAAATATAAAACCAACAATAAAATATCAGCAGACAACCAAAAACACAAAACAACCAACCAAAGATAGAAATGGTAGAGATCTTAAGTATTTCAGGTCTGATCACTAACTAAAGTCAAATCATCTTTTACAAAAAATCAAAGCTTATCACAGAAGTCACATCATCTTAAATTACTCAACACATTGCTCTTATAACAGTCTTAGTCTGGCATACGCTTTTCCAGATTTAGTGCAGAAAATATTTCTATGATGCAATGTAAATAACTTGAAGCAAACAAACAGCACATATTTCTATTCCTTAACTTGCTCTATCGGGACTTGTAAACAGCACGCAGAAAGGGTTAAAGTTTTCTTGATAAGATATAAACTTATCTGTACATAAACACTATTGGGACACTCCTAGGAAAACATTCACAGCACAAGTAGACTACTTTGAAAAACACAGGGAAAAGACAAAACTTATCCTGATAAGATTTAGATATATGAACTTCCCAATGCTGTCTGTAAACAAACACCACGGGGACACTCCTATGAAAACATTCACAGAAAAGGTAAACTACTTTAAAAAACAAAGAGAAAAGACTTAACTTATCCTGACAAGATAATAACTTCCCATTGCTATCTGTACATAAACATTATTGGGACTCTCCTAGAAAAACATCCACAGCACAAGTAAATTACAGTGATAAAATGTAAACAAATATCAAAGCTTATATCACATACAAAATGGAAAGAGAGACAAGATGTACCTCTTCAAAATGTTCATTGTCTCAGCCATTTTGTAAGTCTTCTAGCACTTTAAGCACAGTGATAAATTTCACTTCGTAACCCTCACATCAAAGCCTCCAAATATGAATAATTTGTCATAGTTTTTACTTCGACCGATCTCTAGTTAAAAATTTTAAAAACAATATCTTATTTTATAAAGGAACTAAATCTAACAAAGTACATGATGCCTCGTGTAAGTATTTGATGCCTTATGTTATTGTTGTCTTTGGTAAACATCAGCGTAAACTTTATTAAAAACATTAAGAATTGAAAAAAAAAATCCATCACATGCTCCGGGATAAAGACTCAAAAGATTACATTCTTTTTTACTTAATCAAGAAATGGTAGCTTTTTTTTACCATCTGTATATGAACAGATGAGGTGCGCAAGCATGGACAAATGAAAGATTCATTCAAATTTATTTACACTTATTTTTGGCCTCCATGATCGTTACCATGAGCACACCCCCCCCCCCCACCCCCACCCCACTATCCCAACTTTTGGCAATGGCTCATAGATCTAGCATATTGAAATAAACAGCATTTTTCTAATTATTCACAAGACAGCAACTCACCAAAAAGTCCAGGTTGTTGTTGAGGTTTCTGAACAGACCGCCCACCAGCGCAGCCAGATGAATCACATGGGTGGGTTTGTACTTTTCAAACATGGCCTCTGTGGCTGCACGGTCCCTGAGATGGTAGAAGGAAGAGTGTGTTTGAGGAAAGAAGCAGATCAAGGCGATAACAGTGATTTAGTGCGGGGAAAAATGCACGACAGGAACGGCAGAGGGTGAAAAAAGAAAAGTAGGACCTACTAGTGGCATTTCTAACCACCTACAGGAGTCCTTGAGTTCCAAATTTTCAAAAACTTCAAAACTTGAAGAAACAGATCAAGTCACAGGCTAAGCATTGATCTTGGAAGAAAAGAATAATAAGCAAATTATTATGAAACAGCTTAAAACCTTGGGTTTTTCAATGCTATTTCCCCACCACAACCAGCAAAATACAGGAATGCAGATTTATCTACTACTATAAGCCATAAGTTTTTATTTTTACCCAGTCCCATACTCTTGCAGTGGTTAAAATTACTCTAGTCATCCACAATAAATGGAGAAAAAATGAGAATAGATTCTGCAACATTCTGACATAATAATAGGAAAATAAAGGCCCAAACATACTTCCACTCTTGCACACAGAAAGCAAGATAGAAAGAAAGAAAGAAAGAAAGAAAGAAAGAAAGAAAGAAAGAAAGAAAGAAAGAAAGAAAGAAAGAAAGAAAGAAAAAGAAAGAAAAAGAAAGAAAAAGAAAGAAAGAAAGACAAATTCATGAATTTATTAATACACACTGGGCTGAAATTATCTTTCACATTTAAATTCTAAGGATGTATCCATCTATAAAATTACCAGATGTCACACACAGGATAAATTGATCAGTTTACTCATTGCTTTGATGGAAAAAAGCATTTTTTTGAAGGGGAACATTGATTAGAACAGATTCAATCAATGACTTCCTCTACAAGATGTCACCACACCATGGGGGGGGGAGAATGACTCTTAGATAGAGCTCCTCTACTTTCACCAGATGTTCTGCCCCTAAAAGTTTTATGTTATAATCAACTTTCGTCATGAACAAGACCAGGACACCGCCCCCCCCCCCCCAAAAAAAACCCTCCCAAACTACCTTCATACAAACACATCTCCTTTAAACTAACCGTTTGGGAAGTTGGCAATCAGCCATATAAAATATTAAAATACAGGATCAATATCTGAACAGATAACAGCCAATACTTCATGTAGTAAGCTCCACGTAAACGTGACATGTGGTCCTTTAGAACTAGTAGCAAGGATCCTTATATGCATACTTGTTTATTCTGACACAAAAGAGACCGAACACTTTGAAAACAGAATAAATGTTATGGCTGTCAGCATCTTAATCTTATCATCACCTTTTTCTTCTTACTGCTAATATATCGACGGTTCAGTTCAAGAAACCTGAATGCTACATTTTTTCTAAAATAGATTTTTTTGCTTTCCCCAGGCCGCAGATCTTTCTCCGTTACATAACTTTTCGGTGTGTGGATTGGACTGTACAACTTATTTAAATTTCCAATCCTCACATAGAAAAGTTATGTGATGGAGAAAGATCTGTGGCTATGAAAAAAAAAAGTTGATTTAGAAAAATGTGGCATAACAGAGGTTTCTTGTCCTGAAATGTCGATACATAGATCTTCTTAAACTGCGGAGATTCAGTCAATCCAAAGATTCCCATAAAAAATCTTGCACACAGGAATTAGACCTGTACTTTTGTTTACCTCAAAACTTGACACCTTTGTCTTACTCTCCTTCTTTACTGGGTTTGGTTTAGATTTTATTTTAAAACATAAGTATGAGAGTGTCTGCGAATGATATGTTTCATGGCGTCACTAGCATTGGGCTTTCTTTCTCACATCTCTCTCTACTTCATTTTTTTCTGTGTGACTTTTCGGATGATTTTAAGCGAGCTGACAGTGTCGAAGAAAAAGCATAATGCTTTCAGCCTGCCACTCAAATTGCCATTAAGTGATAAAGGTAGATGGTAAAAAAATTTTCACAAATTTAAATTTGCTGCAAGCATGGCATTCCAAACTCTACACACTGTCAATTATCAATACTATTTGAGCAATCCTCTCGAAACCGAAAACCTGGTTAAACTGAGGAAAGCCAGGCAAACCCACAGATTTATCTTTTAAAACAGACCAATGTTTTTATATAACATCGAGGTCACCATCCAAGAACCTGATCCTCAGGAGACAGGAAAAGTGTGTTCTTAGGCTGACAGGATTCTTGGAGGTGGATTTGAAAGGGCACAGCTCAGATCCTACCCATTAGCATTTTTTCTTTATTCAAAGGTGAAATAAAGACAAAAAAAGTGATACCAATACCCAATGTAAGATAGATGGTTTGCTCTCTCGCCAAATAATATTGAACATGTGAATGTGTATTGTCTATATTTGCCTTGCTTTGGGTGCAAATTAAAACCCAGAGCATTCACTATGAATTTCAATGATACAACATTGTCACTATGGATTCGACAGATCATTGAAATTATGAAAAAAAGAATGGCTGTGAGTAGGACAGCTGAGACAATTAGATGCTTTGACCACATGAGAAGAGCAAGCAATTGTGGCTATCAAAAACTTCTTAGCAATGTGCATGTCTAAAAACACATTCTACGGATCTTTTAGTGAACATGTAGTGTGCAGACTTTATTGTCCACCGGTCCATGTCAACATCTCTCAACTCCCCCAACTCTCCACCTAAACATAAATCTGACTAAGAATTCTGTTTGAGCTCTGGGAATAAACTTTTCTGAGCTAACTACCATATTTTTCTCTGGACTTTTTTTAAATTAATGGTTTTGAAGAGCCTCTCTTACCAAACCAAATTCATTAAAAATGTGTAGAGACATAGAAAATCAGATAATGATACGTTTTCACAAACTAAATGTCAGTGACATTCATTTGAAAGTATTACATGGCACAATTACAAAGATAACTCCTTATTTCATTTCCAGCAAGCCACTCCCAGGGGCTCATGTTTGGAACCACTGTGCCAGTGAGCTGTGGCCAGCAGCTCGGCACACATTCCTTTATGACAATTTCGACATCAAATTATATTTTGACAACTAACTACCAAAAACAGGTTGATTTTACTGGGATTACATTCATTTAAGATAAAGAACTCTCGAAATAGGTTCACATGTTTTGATTTAATTACCAATTTAGAGAAGTATATATATGTCAATTTTATATTTGTACCAAAAGAGGGCCGATTCTCTGTTAAACAAAGATGTGCTGAGAAAGAGCTAACAGCAATTAAATGTCTTACGTGAGATCCGCATCTTTAGAACATGCAAAAATCCACTTCTCATCCGCTCGCTTTCCTTCTTTCTCAACAGCGGCTTCAATGCCTTTCCCCACAAGGCCTGTGCCTCCGGTGACAAGAATGACTTTCTCTTCTCCCATTATCAGTTCTGAAAAGAGAAAATAGCAAAATTAATTTAATTCATCTCTCTGGCAACACACGATAAGATAAAGAAAAAGTTAAACGTTCCATCAGAATGTGCCGAATAGCAAAAAATTATGTGTTTCACGCCACGTAAAAGGAGCTTCCTCTCCTTCGAGTAACGTTGCAATGAGAACTTCAACATAATACAGTTGAACCTTGTAAAACGGTTACCCATTCATTGTCAAGGAAAAAAGTGGCTGGTATATCACAGGGGGCCGTCTTAGGGTAGGACTGATCAAAATGAAGAAAGCAAATGGTCACTGGTGATCTTAGGCTCAGGACTGCCACAAGGTTAATTCAAAAGGATTTTTGTTTTCTCTTGAAAAAGGGTGTGTGTGGGTGGGGTAGGGGTTGTTGTAAGAAGGGGTTTTTGCTGTTGTTTTTTTTTTTTTATTAGCTTTTTTGCTGCTGATTTTGTGCGAGGGTAAAATAAACAAAATATACATACGATGAAAGACGACGAAGACCGAGTGCCATGGTACAACAAAAACTGATTCACCACCATTTAGAGAATGAGCGTTGCTTCTGTCACAAATTCATGTTACGTCCATTGTTATTTTGTTACAGATTAGGAAAAACAAAACAGAGACCAGTCATCTCACTTAGGATGTTTACGTGTATGAACGGGGCTTATAAGATACGGCTGATCATATGCTTTCCTCACCAGCAGTCGAACATTTATTGATACCCATTGGTCAACTCGGGTAAACATGCATTGGAGGAACTAACAATAACAACTGGTGAATTGACTATGACGTCTCACCCACAGCGCCAGGAGCCGATTCAAAATTTATGAATAAGCATCAGGTGATGCGAGACCACGCCTGGCCATCAAATTCACTAGGTAAATTTAGCTGTTGGTTGATAAAATAAGGTGGCCGCGGCCGCGGCGGACAGGTGACCGTCCTACAAAATTAATTTATATTTAAAGAAAAAACACACGAGGGGAAATGAAAAGTGGCTATTTGTACAGGTGGCCGTCATAGAAGGTTTGACTGTATTTGAAACAATCCCAAACACACAATCTCCTTTTACACTGCTGCATAAACATGGGAAAAAAGCGTGCTCATAACCCAAAAGAAACGCAAAGGAGAACAAAAATAGGCCTAGATCTATATATGTAGATATAATGTCATCTTTTGTTGTATGAACATCAGAGTCATGATGTGGTGAATCCTTGAATTTTTGGGCAAGTGCACTATCAGTATCATCTTAAGGCTTCTTGTTCATTTGTCTTGCTTTCAATCAAAAATAGAAGTCCAGAAATTTGCGATTAAAGGAAGCGTGGGTTGCCTGGTTTCAGTGGTAAAATCAGAGAGCAAATAGCCACACAAAGTTAAATGACTTCCATGAAATAGCTTGAGTCCTTGAAAACAAAATTTACATTTGTTAAATAAATGCGCCTTTAAATCAATGTTTTTCAGCATAATCTACACGTTTAAAAATTAAATGGACATGAAAAGTGTTAGGCCAAAAAACACAAACTCAATAAAAATTGTAAAACCCGCGGAAAAATACTGGTATCTTCAATTTAATTTTGACTATCACCTGATTTCACCACAATGCCTCACATTTTGTTCGGAATGAAACAAAGGTACCATGACTGTACATAGGTCTACTGCTTTTATGAGGTTTCTTTGGCTTTTTTAAAATTCTAAGCCAACTGTTGGATGCTTTGAATCTGGCTAACATTCTAAAGTAATGATTTTCATTATTAGCGTATATTGGGCATTCTATTCTTTTTGTACATGATGGGTATCAATATATTAGATTTAAATCTGTACTACAGGCCTACTTTAGTAGTTTAAATGAATGAACAAATGAACAAACTATTCTTAATAGAATTTGTTGTCCATTGCAAGGAGATGAGACAAGCCTTAGAGAGCCCATATTTGCTGTAGGACACCTTGTCTCATTGGTTGGGAATTTGAAATAAATTGTATAAAGAGTAAACATGGTTCGGTTGCTATGGAAACAGCAACTATCTGATTTTTTGTTACCTATTTCTATTTCAATCCGGTTCAATTCACTTATACAAATGTGCCTACACTTTTGAAAATTTTGCATGTGTACATGATAGGAAAACATAAATTTAGAAAGAGGAGGAATGTTTGAAATGCTTTAGTTTTCAGGTCAAGGCACTTACAACTCAGATTATTAGATCTAATAACATCCGGAAACAAATCAAGTTTTCTGAAGTCATTCATTATCAAAAACAAAGAAACAAAAAAAAATTCCTCTACACAGATTTTAGAATTTTGTCTTGACGAAATCCTGTGAAAATTACATAAAAATTGAAAACGAGCAGAACAATGGGATGATATAGCCTACATCATGTGTGAAAAAATAGCATTTTTGAGAAAACAGTTGGCCTGCTAGATCTAGATTCTAGATCTATGGTTAATTATTGACCGAGAAGGTTTGCTTGGTAAAAATCCTGATATTTCAAGCAGCATCCTGGCAACTACTTGATAAAATTAACATCATGACAGAATAAATGGGGTTTCAAATAAAAATCTGAATCTATAAATCTAGATTCTAGAGTCTAGTCAAGGCATAATTTTTTAAAGTGCAAAAACATGCTAGAATCTAGCAGATTAAAACTGACAAGTTTGTTCAAACATTTAAACTATTTAAAGCTGCTCAAAAATCCCCTCAAATAAGGGACGCGCTCATATGACCTTAGCAGTTGCGAGCGCCGTAAAACCTTATACTATACTAAACAAGGGACATTATTCGGGACGTTTCCTGACAATATAGATCTCTAGATCTAAGTGATAACCCCAATTTGCATAATTGACCTTTGTTAGTTTTAATAGATCTAGATTCTAGATATCTAGATCTAGATCTAGATCTAGAACTAGATCTAGATATTAGATCTAGATCTAGATGCCCCCCCTCCCCATTTCAAGCCGTCGAGTGCCGTAAGCCTGTTTGTTGAAACTAAAATGGCTTTTCCATGTCAATTACATTGAATACGGTTACAATAAGGGAGTGTATACAGACCCGGTAACCAGGAACAAAGTCACAAAGTATACAGACCCGGTAGGGGAACTCTTTTGTGCGGAGAGTTTCAGCGCCCTCTTGGCTCAGGAGAGACCTAGGTCCTTCTAGATCTATGGTCTAGATCTAGATCTAGGGGGACATAAATCTTTGATCTAGTTTCGCGGCTAGCCTAGATCTAGATCTAAATGATGAAGATTGCGGATGTCTTTTCGATGAACGATCGTTTTTCCTCTGTTTTGGAGTTGGAGGAATAAGGATTTGAAGTAAAGAAAATGTCATAATTTCAATTGAGCAGTCACCCTCTCTATTTCTCTGCCCCCCCCCCCCCTCTCTCTCTCTCTCTCTCTACTCTCTCTCTCCCTGTGTGTGTGTATTGCTCGCCTTCTCTTTTTCTTTGTTTGTCTCTGTCCTTCTTTGTCCCCACCTATTTCCCACTCTATCTTTCTCTCGTTCCCTCCTGCCAACTGGGGCATGTCACATTTTGCTCGCACCTCTCTCTCTCTCTCTCTCTCTCTTACACACACACACACACACACACACACACACACACACACACACACACACACACTCACACACACACACACTCTCTAGATTTCTACCGGTCTGGGCGCTGAAACTTCCCGAAATCACAAAAGAGTTCCCCTACCGGGTCTGTATCACAGAATTCTGTTGTCTGTATACTGTATACTTCGTCTCGTGACTTTGTTCCCGGTTACCGGGGCTGTATTATAATGTATATACACTTAAACCTTGCCTTAGTGAGGAGAGTCTCGTTTAAAAGGCTTTTATGTGAAATACAGATTAAATGTAACATTATTACTTATTTTACAACTCGGTTTTCCTTCCTTGTTTGGAGGCCGCTTACAGTACACGCCTTCGTCTTGTAAATTCTGGGCAAAGTTTTTAGCTTTTCAAGCTTTTGGCAGGGTCCAACCGGTACATGTCATGCAAACAGTAAACACGCTTCTCCTTTTGTTGTTTTCCTATTCTAAACAGAGATCTCACATGGAGAATGCTAAATAAAAAGGTTGTGAAGTCATTAAAAATGGAAACCTTTCACATAAAATCACACTGTGACTTTACTTACTTTCAGCGGAATAGCAGGAAGAAAAGGCGTTGTCTGCTGTGAGTTGGCGGTATCCTCAGTGACAACAATCAGACAGGACGCTAGGTTTGCCTCGTTTCCAAAAGCCGGTCCGGTATGCCACGTGAATTCCAAAACTATAACCGCGGGAACATACTTATGAAACAAATTGCTATAATGGCCCCAACAAGCAATAGTACGCAAAAATTAATACTGTATTATTATTTCTGTGGATCATTACCTCTTTCAATTCTTGCGGTTTTAATTTCCCAAAACTTCTCTATTGTTTGAGAAGACGCCTTTTTGAAGAAATTTGTAAGGTCTATTTGTTGTCGCGGTGTTCTGAGTATTGTTATCAACCATTGTTGTTGATTTGTATGGTTTTGTTAGCTACCCCGTTTTGTCTTTGTACAACTTACTCTTTCTGAATAATATAAGCAAATTAAACGAGGGATGAGGCAAGGATGTGAAATAATGCCACCAGAGCTCTTAAATGCATACACCAAAACAATTCTTTTGAAATATTGAAGAAAACCCAAGATCTCAAAATGAATGGCTATAATATTAATAACATCAGATGCCTATGGCAAAGCTGATTCAGAAAAGGACCTTCAATTCCAAGTAGCCTACTTCTAAAGATGCTGTTACAGAAACGGAAAGAAAAGAATCATTGTTGAGGGTGAAGAAAACGAAAAATTGCAATGGCTAAAGATAATTCCAATAAAATGAGCTCAATCCTTTTTTTAAAAATGGGAAGCATCTCAGTGATTACCAAAATAAAAATTCCTGACGGTTATGTGCGGCCAAGTCTTCTTTAATACGGCTGTGAATGTTGGGCAATCACTAAGGATGATCCCAAAAAAATCAATAAATAGAAGCAACAGAAATGTGATTTCTCGGCAGATGGCAGAGTTTCTTGGAAGGAAAAGAAAAGAAGTACCGCTGTGCTTGAAGCAGCCCACATGGGCAGCTCGCTGATAAAGGCAATCGGGCAGCGACAAAAAAATGCACTTTCTGGGATGCTTGAATAGAGATCGAGGGCCTTGAACATTTAAAATCTAGCTCTCCCTGGCAAAATACAAGGTAAACGACGTGCTGTAGACTCAGAGCAATTTGCTCCGAAAGCCGAAATACAGATGATATGAGTGATGGGAAATTATGTCAGGAGCTTTTTCGAGAGCTTGCAAGTAAAGGAATGATATTGATTAAGGCGAATCGATGATCGCCGATGTCTATCACAGAATGATCTGGCTTACTTGCTTAATCAGTGGGTTATTCTTTTGTGGGCATTTTTTATTGTTCGTTTGTTCAATGTGTTCTTCGAGACCTTGGGTGCTTGGCTTTTACGTTCTGTCAAGAGCAGGGGCCACCAAACTTTTTTTTTTCAAAGTGGCTTGAATATTGTTTAATAATATAATACATTACACAAAATACATTAGCAAAAGTAAGAAGTTATAAAGTTTACAAAAGAACATTAGATTCGCACGATAGTGTTCAATCACATTATTAATTAAATTCTTCTAGATGAGCCGAGCACACCACAGACATAATATTATAATACTTTAAGTCTTGCAAGAATTATATCACCGCTGGCTGGGCGGCGAGCCAGACAGCTGACCTCGCGGGCCATAATATAATATAATGGTTTATTGGTGACTCCTGGTCAAGAGGGCGAGGGGATACTATGCTAGATTACGTAAATGTGTACATTTTTTCTTCTCTAATACGTACCATCCTTGTCATCATAGCCTATTAAGTCTCGTTTGGCCCCAGGAAATAGGTCACCGGCAATAGCTGCTGTCCACGCATCTTGATCCTGGACCGGTTTCTCCAGTTGTCCCCATGTGACACACAAACGCGCGCCTACTATATAATTGTGTCACGCCGCGTTGGAATCAAGCGATCGTCTTTGGGGGCATGTTACTATTATATTTCTGCGAAAAAAATGCTCTTCTATCTTGAATAGAAGTCAAGATACAATGTATTTGCGATTGAAGGAGATAGGGGTTCGCCTGGTTTCAGAGGTAAAAATTAGGCCTAGCGAGAGATTACATGGCCGCCAAAGTCAGGTGACTCCCAAAGCTTGAGAGCCCTTGTTAGACTTCTAATTGCTAAATTACATTTTTTGTGCCTTTTATCAACTTTTTTTCAGTAAAAATGTATTTGTACACGAACATAAAATTTGTTGAGCCAAAAAACAAAAAATCGATAAAAATTACCAAACGAGCGAAAATGTGCCGGTTTCTTCGATTTCATTATTTTGACGAGTGTGATTTCACTCCGCGGCCCCACATTTTACAGTTTTGTTATCTTTCACGATGATGTAACCTACATGTTTGTATAGATCCTTTTTGCTCTGAGTCTAACCATGATTTTCGGTGGAGACTCTCGAGGCCTAGAGGTTAAGCCCCCCACCCTCCCCCCTACCCCCTATCCCCCAGGGCAGTGCTACTGACTGAAGTGTCGTTAGGCCATTCCCAAAGGGGGGGGGGGGGACATTAATATGTTCTTATGCACAGTAGAATTGTAAATGGGCTGATTTATCATTGTCATACTCCTACTGTGCCGGAACAACATACAGGGGGAACTGTTGCTTTTTCTTTTCTCGTCCTTACTATCGTCATTTTCTTCTAGACTACTTTTTTGTAGGTTTGTCACTCTCTTGTGAACTGCTAATTCCCGGGTACCTGGATAGTCGAAGCAGGTTTTGTGCTGTTGAGGCGAGAGAGGTGAGCAATCGTAAGCCTGATTCCTTGTTTGGACTTCTTTGTTGACATCCACCTCTTTCCGCTCATATGACCTTATGCAGTTGCGACTGCCGTAAAATCTCACTAAAACTTTTTTTAAAAACCACCCAAAAAACTAGAGGTTAAGGAGTTTGCCTCTCATTCAACAGGTCCTAAGTTCGAATCCGGATAGTGACAGAAAATGTCCTTCTCTAAAATGTTCTACTTTCATGCTCTCTATCGTCTCCACTTTCTGCACACACTCCCTCCTTACCTTTTTTGCCCCCTCCTCTTGGCTCCTGACTCTTTCTCCAGCCTTTCTACTGCTACTCCTTGGCTTTTTCTTACTGTTGTCTTTCAGCCACACCCCTGATCTTTTGGTAGGAAAGATCTCTTGCATTCTCGGACAAGGGCGAACAATCTCTGAGGTTCCGTGTGCAAGCTGCAAAAGTTAAAGATCCGTTGGTGGCCCAAAATCTATAAAAGTAGGCTTCGGCTGCCACGGGGGCAAAATTCAAAATTTCCTACCAACTGAACATGTTTGACGTGTCCTGTGCGCTCATATGACCTTATGCAGTTGAAGAATTATGCCACCGAAAAATTTTCTTCTCTAAATTTGTCTCCTTTCACCTCATTTCCTGCTCTCTAACAATATCCTGTCGTCTGCTTTCGTCTCCTCTTTCTGCCCCC